ACGGACGACGTCGGACCGACGTTGTCGACGACCGACGACGCGGCCGCGTCGACCGACCGACCGAGTACGTACGGTAGGAGCGACGACGCGAGAGAGAGAGAGAGAGGATGCTGGGAGGCGCCTCGGTGCAAGTGGACGGATGCCTTCTCAACACCACCATCCATCGGTACCCCCGACTGCCTTCGAATCCCTTCTCGGCGCCAGACTTGATCCCAGACGACGCCGACATAGGTCACATAGACCCACCCACCGACCGACCGACCACGCCGCCGTCGCTGGCTTTTCCCCGCTTGGTAGGACTCGCTTTGCTTGACGAGCATCCGTGCCCGGCTTTCGACTCCGCAACGCCAGGAGCCAGCCACGCAGCCATACGCCGGCGAGAGCCGTCCGTCGCAGCGGCCAAGGCTCAAACTCGCCTGGCCTGGCCTAGCCTGCCTGTGCCTGGGCCTGCCTGAATTGACCTCGCAGCCAGCCTCGGCGGTTGCGTCGGCATCGCCGTCAGCCACCAACTGCGCTCAAAGGCCCCCACCAGGCTCCGACGAGGATACGCAACGAGCGATTGCAGCCCCAATAATCAGCTCGGCCCCTGGTCCCGTCTCCCTGCCCTCTCTCTCTCGCCTTCTATCGACCTGCGGCTCTGCTGACGAGCATGCTGGCAACGGCGGCAACCCTCGGTCAGAGCGACTTGTGTAGCAGAGGTCAGCCCGAGTTCCTTGGCATCAGCGTCGCCGCGTCATCCGCCTCCTCGACACCCACCTCCCGACGTCGACGCAGCACGCAGCGTGGCCCCGCCGAGCTTGCTTGAGACAACTCGATCTTCTGTCGGGCTCTGCTCCGAGACCTCTGCGGACAGAGCACCAGGCAGACTGTGCGGACCAGCCCGGTGGGCTACCTTGCTGGCTTGCACTTGCCAACAGCCCATCAGCAGCATCGCAAACAAGCCCATCGCGGCCACTCGCGGGCACCATTATCGCGAGAGGCAGGCCCACGAACAGTGCTGTACCTGGTGAGTCCCGTCCTATGTCTTGGTCCTCATGTTTCGCGCCGAGGATGCGGTGGATCGTCGACGGTGCCGGCGACACACAATAAGCCTTCTTCGAAGAAAAGAGAGAAGAATGGAATCTCGAGGTGGGCTTCGCATCTGCCAGCCCAGCAGCGCAGCCCGCCCAATCAACCTACGAAGAAGGGCTCTGGCCCCAACGTCGAGCCTGCCTGCCTGCAGTTGGTGCTTGCTGCTGCTGCCACCTGCCGCCAGAGAGTCGCCTTGCTTGATCTGTTGGCTGTTGTCGGGCGGGCTCCGACCATCCCCTGCTGACCGCCATCACACTCTCTATCTCATGACCTCCCCGTTCAACGCCCCTCGCTGACGCCATTGCCGCCATCGCTGCCCCCTTTTTGCCTGCCTGTTGGCTGCCGCTTGCTTGCTTGCCGCACTCACCCACGCCCGATTTTTCTCTCTGCTAGTCGTGGCAGCGCTGGCATTTTCCGCCGCCCGGTCTTGTTTTTCGGCGTCTCCCGCTCGCTGGCCCTGGACGGGGCGGGGCATACAAGCGAGCCTCTGCGGGCGTTGGCTGGCTGGGCTTCCTAGCCTAGCTGCCTACCTGCTGGCCTTTGAGTTAGGCCTGACTGGCAGCCAAGCGGCGTTTTTCCACTGCCTGCCGCTCCCGGATACGATCCGACCCTTGCCGAATCTCTGGCTTACCGGCCTGCTGGCCAGGCTAGGCAGGCCGCCTGACTTTTTGCGCCGAGCGGGTGTTGGTCTCGCCAAGCTTAGGTCGACCCGCGCCTCCGCCCTGGGCGCATCGTCCGAGCAGCGAGCCAGCGAGTAGGCGTAGGTAGGCAGGCTACCGCCGTAGCCGGCGACGAGCAGGTCAAGCAACCAGAGGCTAGGCAGGGGGCAGGGGAGCGGGCCGGCAAGGCAAGTCAGGGCAAGGCAAGGGGTCTTTGCATCACACATACAGCCAGGCACCGGCCGCTGCCACCGGCGCACCCACCTCACCAACCGCCTCATTTCGCTGACCTCCCTCTCGCCTCATTTCGCCGCGCCCCTGGTACAGTACGACGGTACGAGGAACCAGGCGAGGCCAAAGGCGTAGCGTCGCTGCGGGCCGGGAAGCTGCTTGCCAGAGTGCGCCACCTTGGCCTTGCTTGCGCTCCGTTCCTTCTCTCAGCTGGCCCAGCCGACGACATCGGACCTGCTCCGCTCGTTATTTTGCGCCCAGGCACGGAGGCGGGCCGAACCGCATCGCTTCGTCCGTCGGCCGTCTCGCCACCTGCGCTGCATCTACGCCCCCCAACCCCAACCCCAACCCCCCTTGCTCGACGTTGCCCGGCAGACCCAGCCTGCCTCTCGATGCACACCGGCTGCTGCAGGCCTGACGCCGTCCGACGATATCATGCCAAGGGTGCGCTCCAGCACACCGACCGCGTCGGAGGCTGCAGCAGCAGCCACGTCGTGTTCCCATGCCGTCGATCGCCTGCCCGACCCACACGCCCCTGTCTCGACCGCCCCGCCCTCCTCTTCTTCGCACCGCCACACCTCTCGCCGCCACCACCCACACCACTACCACGGCCACGGCTACGGCCGCCACCATCAGCCCGATCGCCTGTCCCAACATCGTCACCCGCACGCCCAGCACGGCCACGATCACCGCGCCCACCACCGTGCTTGCGACGACGCCCAAGTCGAGGCCTTCTCGTTCGCCGCCACCCCACCTCCGCCGCAGCCCCCGTCTCCCCGTGCTGCATCGACACCGCCACCACCGCTACCGCCAGCGTCGCCCCTTCCAGCCTCCCCTGCCGCCGCCTCCTCGGGCGCCAGGCAGCAGCGCTCGCGCACCCTCTCGCACTCGCTCCGGCGGCCCAGGGCCGACCTTTTCGCCGGCCTGCGCAAGAGGGGTGCCACTCTTCAACTGGGGTCGCCCTCGACGACACCGGCACGCACCGACTCGTGCTCGTCCGACGCCTCGACCTTCGACGACGCCTCGTCCGTCGTCCGGCGCCCGCCTTCGTCGGCTCACACAACCCCACCTCCCCTAGCCGCGCCGCCGGTTCCGCAGCAGCACTGTGGCCTCTCCTTGCTCAAGTCCCGCACCTCTTTGAGCCGGCTTCGTGGCCTGGCCAACTCGCCTTCGCCTCAGAGCGCGTCCTCGGTCGGTCAGCCGACCCCGCGCAACTCTAACGCTGGGCCTTCGAGCGAAAGTCCACGCCCTTTGTCGTCCCGGCGGACGCGGTCGCTCAGCTCACGCCAGCACGCCAATGATTCCATCGAGCAGCCCAGCCGCAGCACCAGCCAACGTGTCAACCGCCCGCGCGCCGCGACCTCGGCCTCCCGCAGCGTAGGTCGCAGCCTCTTCGACTGCGGCAGCATCGGCGACAGCCCGCGCTCGCCCCATCCGATCCAGGACGCTGCAGCAACCCGCGCCTCCCGCGTTCGTCCGAGCCTCCCTGCAGAGTTTGACGCTGCAGCGGGCACATCTGCGGCACCATCGAGTCAGACTTACTCCTCACAAGGCGCCGGGCATCTCTGGCACGACGAGGAAGCACGGCTGCAATCGCCGTTGTGGTCGGAAAAGGCGCTGGCCGGCCTGGGCTTCACCACGCCCGCACTGAGCGGCTTCCTGGTCCGCGAGCGCGCTCCAGCTGCTCCGTCCTCGCCCCCCGCTCCGGCATCGAGCCTGCCGGGCTCGCCGCAACCAGCGTGGGCTCCGATGCGGCCGTCGTCGGACTGGCCGTCGTACGCCCGCGAGCGCTCTTCCGGCCATGTCGATGGCGGGACGAGGCGCAGCATGGCCAGAGACGCGGGCGAGGACCTCGTCTACCCGGCGCACGTCCAGCGAACGGCGAGCAGAGCCTCCTACCTGCCCATGCCCGACGCCCTGGAGGCTCGCAGAGCAAACTCGCCCAGCTTCATCGACGGCCCGGCCTCGTCGCTCGCTGCTCCCGAGTCCAGCTGGCGCCCGAATGGCCAGGACGCCTACTGGCAGAGGCCACACATTGGCATCGGCCTGCCCACGGCCTATCACCACGAGAGACCCTCGCCGCGTTTCGATGGCCATCCTGAGGCTTTCAAGCTGCCCCGGATCATGACCTCCGACGTGCGGTCCTCGGTAGATGCGCCGACTGTCCCGCGCGCGGTCCAGCATCGCCTCGCCGACCAGCATGCCCAGCGCCCTCAGACCAACGCATACCCAAGCGGCCCCGCTGCGGGGGCCTCTCCAGCCCTTGATACCCGGCGTCCGGCGCCCGATTCGACCAATCCGCAACGCCAGCATCCCTATCACCAGCAACTCAAGCATCTCTCGCAGCATCGGCAGCAGCAGCGTCGGCACCCATCAGACCTATCGCTGTTCACGTCGACCTCGACTGACGGCCCCGGCACCGCATCGCCCGGTCCCGTCCTCACGGCTGACACGTCGATGACGAGCCTGGGCCCGTCGCGGACCGGTCACGACTCCGCCTCCGACGACCATTCCCGCGCCAAGAGGGATCGCCGAGGATCCGACCACTCCGTGTCGCGACTGCCGACCAGGCGCGGGAGCATCGACCTGGCTCCAGCCCACGGCGCCAGCAGGCCCCCGCTGCTCTCGCCCATCGCGTCGTCGTCTCTCGGCGAGCGCTCCACGCACAGCCGCAGCACGCCCAACCTCGTCCATGTCCAGCCCGAGCAGACGTCGCGGCTGCTGGAGCAGATGCGCATCGACGAGCTGCGGGCCCACAGCGTCCTGCAGTCGGGATACCTCGAGCCGAGCAACGGCTGCGAGGCCGTCTTCCTACCGCGACCCCGCCTGCGAGCGCAGAGCGTCGATGATCTCGCGCAGGACTTTGAACTGGGGAGGGGCAGAGCGGCGAGGCAGCGTCAGCGCCAGCGCGAGCAACCGCGTTCCGGCAGGCCAACCGCGGGCTACCAATCGGACCAGGAGGAACTCGCGCCGCCAAGGTGGCCCGACCAGGGACGTGCCGCCTCTCCTCGAATGCGTCGGCAGCCGCGCGGGACGCCTTATGGGCACGACGATGCGCTCGCTGAGCCGCCGATGTCGGCACCGATCCCGGGCGCCCGTCCTATCGCGGTGCCACACAGGGACAGCAGCATGCGGACCGACCACGCCCGCTCGAACTCCAACTTTGGCTACGTTTCAGATGACGAGGGCTCGACGGCGTCGCACGGCCGGCCCTTCTTTCACCACCGCATGCCGCCCGCTCCGCCACCCGAGGGTTCATCCAGCTTCGACGAGCGCCGGCAGGGCGCGACGATGGCCCAGCGGCGCCGTTCGCTTTCTGGCCGCCGCCGCGGCTCGCACGGGGGCGACGATGCGGCGTCCGGCGCACCCGCCTCGGCGCCTCT